GAAGAAGAAGAAGAGAGAGAGAGAGAAAGAGAGATGGGTACGTTCGATGGGGTTAACGATGGAGGACGCGAGAGGGTTGGGCGCGGGGGTGAACTAATTGGTTGCTATCGCCGGCGAGAGAGATTTGTAGACGGGAAGAAGCTTTACTTTTTGATGTTAATGGCGTTGCGTGGGTCGCTGGCGATCCGCCGCGAAATAATTCTTCCTAGCAGTAAAACTTCCCCGTTGCCTGAAAAGGTGTGCAGTTAAGCCGCTCTGCTCCGAGCAACCCCGTGCAACGGAATTATTTGCAATTTGAATAATTGGATCTGCAGATGATCTAGTTGAAACGTTTGGTCCGGGGACATAGAATTTCGAAGATCCTGTTTGGAAATTTCTAATTACGATACCGAATTACAAATCTGACACGCGGTAGTGTCCCAATAAATTTAGAAGATTCTGCTTGTAAATTTGCAATTACAATATTCAATCTAAAACACATACACATGTTTAATGAATTATCGTTGTTTAATAGCTATTGATATTTAATATTAATGTTCAGTAAGGAACAGCGTTGCAGTAGAAGCAGCAAACATTGCCAAACACACTGTAGAATTTGAAAGATTTTACTCGTAAATTCTGAATTATGGACTTTGATGTGTCCAAGGCCACTAAATTGAAGTAGCTGCTGATCTTTGGTACAAGATAGGGAAACAGAGCCGGAGTGTATATACACAATGATTTAATTCAATCTCATGAATCACGATCTCACGCGATAGGCAGGTCTCGAGCCTCAAGTTGGAGAAGAAGCGTTGCAGATAATTATCCTTAATTACGTCGGCGGAGGTTAAGGCTCGCGAACACCCTGGCCAATTATCATAGCTAACAGAATTTGCAAGGTGTTTCCGTTTGCTCTTACGCGCGTCTCTGTCAGCCATCGAGCATTCAAGAGGCAACGTGACGAGCGGCTATTAATCATTTCGCTGGCAGAGTTAAACACGAGTGAAACAGCTGATGATAATACGGGCTACTGGAACTCGTCGAGCTCTTTGTGCCAGAAGCGTGTGAACTTGTTCGCGATAGTCCAATTGGAAGAACTTGAACTTTTGCCTGTTCTTTTATGTGTGATAAGATCGTTTCTTTTTTTTCTTACAAATTCCCATGTATTAGAATTTCAACGTAGCTGTGAGAGAATGTTTGTAGTAATTTTTAAAATCACGATTATTTGTTTTTTTTTTTTTTTTTTAAGGAAATTGACCGTCAGTTACGCGTGTGAGCAATGAAATTGAGAAAACAAAGAGTAAACTCAGTTAATTTAGCTTTTCTGGTCCAAATGTATTCGTTGCGTCGTGAAGAATTCGCATCACGAGTCCCTTACACCGTGTTCAAAAATTTAACGTGCAATTGCAAACAACTGTAAAGTTGTTTCGATGAAAACCTAATTGGTCGAAACCGGAATAACACTTCCACAATAATTTCTACCACCGTTCTCCACGATCCACTTAAACCTTCTGTGCCGCATTCCCGCAGCCTCTCATCGTGAGTAGCGCGCACTTCGACGATTAATCTCTCCGGAGCAAGATCAAATTAAATCACACGGGGCGTCGTTCTCTCGGGCACTCGTACCTTTAACCATGTGGGTGCAGGCCGGCGCAGTCAGCGTACCATGCCACGTACCTCCAATTTCCATCGTCCAGTTTCTACTTCCGTGACCCGTGCCACTGTCGGTCAATTACGGCGCGCCGTCTGCACCGCGTTGCACTTTGCAACGCTATTTATCAATGCCACGGATCGCGCGTACGTGTGTTCCGCGTCTGCGCGGGTCAACAAGGATACACGATATTTTCCATAACCCTTGAACCCGGCCCAGAATATCCGGACCAGCTGGCCGACGTGGACGTCGGAGTAAATCGTGTACCACCGTTTCGGCCGAGAAACAATTTCCGCGATAGTCGGTTGTTCGGTTGCTGTTCGGCTGCCAGTAGACATTACTGTTGTCGGCTCTCTCCGCTCTCGTGTTTTGTTCCGTTGATTTATTTCCAAGTAGATGCTCGATGTGTTTATGCAAATTCAGATTTCTACGAATACAATTAACGCCTTTGTGCTTGACATTTACGGCACGGTGGCCGTGGTCCAGCGCCAGGTTTAACCGCTTGCGTCTGGCAGCCGATTGCGGACCGTAACGAGTGACCAAACCGCATACGGTAATTCGTCGCTTTCTTTTCGAACTCGTCGGTGTGATATCACTGGATGGAAATGATCGAGAAGCAATAAACTTATTATCTGTTTTGCCTGGGTTATACTTAAAGTATACTTAAAACTGAGGGAATATTGCAATCTTGGGAACAAAAAATTCTCGACGTGCGCAAGAGGCTAAACACCGAGTATGATGGTTCACGTGGTCGACGAGACGTGTTTTTTTCTCTGTCGCTCGAGTCACTGTGTGTCGTTCGTTGATTCTTCAATTTGAAATAAAAAAAAAAAAAAAGAAACAATTTTAATGATTCACCATCAACGAAGTTTTTCTTGATAATTCTGGTCGCGTTATCGAATCGTGGGAATGTTTGTGGAGGTCTTTGCCGCGTATGTTAGCTAGATTCTTCGATGGAGGATACTTCAAGTAGGACGTGAGAATGTGGTCTTGGTGAATTCGTGCAGAGATCCTCGCGGTATTCCTAGTGATTTGCGACCGCTTTGGCGAAACGTGTCAACACATCTTTATCGTATTCGTGCTAAACATTTAATCCTAATTATTAATCAATCGTCGATCCCAATGCGAGACGTAAATTGTTTTTAAATATTGCGCAAAGTATTTGCGCGTTCTATTCTTCCAAAATAATCTCTTCAACTGTAAAATATAACGCACGACTAACGCAAGACTTTCCCTCGTACAATAAATCCACGTTTCGTTCCAATAAACTCACTTAACCACGTCGTATCGAAATCACAGAATCAGCCATAAAGCAAACCTCTAATTTCTTTAATGTCTCTCGTCGATTTCCCTCGTGCTTTTTCGCAATATCGTGATATATCGTTAAAAAAAAAAAAAAAAAAAAAAAAAAACTCAGTCGAAATCGTGGAATCAGCCATAAAGCAAGTCTCTAATTTCTCACGTCTCTCTCGTGCTTTTTCACGATATCATGACACGTATTTATGCGCAGCTGTGCTCGTCGTCGCGACAGATACCGATTTAGAAAGAGAAACCTAAAGACTACTCTCTTTGGCGTTCGAAGCTTGTTGTTGAAGCTTGAGTACGCGACTTTCATTGTAGCCTACCGTTCGGTAACTTGTCCGACGATCGGCTGAGCAATCGGCTCGCGCAAGCAAATGAGTTTCCCCCGGTAATGTCTGGAAATTATCGAAACATGGGCCGTACCGAGCTGACGAAATTTTTGCACAACAGGCAGGCAGAGATCGGTTTCGAACGGTTTCGCAAACTGCTCGGATCGCGGATCGCGATTACTGTAATTTTTCGTTCTATCGGGATTACTTTGGCCGGGAGGTTAACTATTCTCTCACCGGCAGGAAATTCCATTGGAAATTCGTTTCGGTGGATTGTTTCGTTCGACGGATGTCGGGCTTTTCATTTGTGAGCGATTACAGGCTTGGAATTGTTTAAAAATCGGTTGGTTTCCGCTCTCTGGTGAAAATATTGTTCCCTACTGCAGTGATTGAGGAATTCTTTTCTGAATTATACGAGTCATTAACGAAACAGATAGATTTGTTATTTTCTTCTTTTTTTAATACTGTCATGTGTTAAACGCCACAGTGGTGTATTTTTATAAATATTCCAAAACGATTGAAGTAGGAAGAATACTATCGATCGGAAAGTTTTAAATAGTATATAGACAATTCTATAAAACGAGAAATGCGTTCTATTTTCTTTAAAAGTAATATTTATTTTAGAGAATAGTAATAATCATTTGTTTTAACGTAATATTTTCTAAAAATTAATTGTACCTTTCATCGCGTCAAACGTATAATTCTCTACCTTATAAACATTCAAAATTTAATAAATTATTACAAATGAAGGTTGACGTTAAAGAAAAAAAAAAAAAAAGAAATATGTACATGTTCCATTTTCATTCTCCAGATCCTGTCACTATGATCAGACGATTAAACTTATCAACAACCTCGGCAAATACAAATTATTCTGTCCCTAAAAATCAACATAATAATTGCTTAAAAACCAAATATCCTGGCCTGCCATTGCTATATTTTATACTTTTCTTAAAGACTGTAATCCTAATGTACGAAGCTTACACGTTCGTTTCCTCTGTTATTTCACTTCGTTCCACAGACACAGCTGTACTAAATCTCAAATAAAGTTTCCTCAAATGAAGCTTGAATGAAAACCGAAATCTTACTACTAAATTCCTCCAACGTAATTACATTATTTCTTGATTCAACAGCTTGCCAAATAAATATATAACGGGCCGGGTGTTAAAGATCAAAACGATGAATCTTCGCCTCGGGCGAAGTCGCGAGAAAAGGAACAAACGACGAATCCTCTCGTTATCCTTCCCGGGGAAGCTGCATTTTCGATCGCGATCGCGAAACGCGCAACAGGCGTAATTACAGCCCGCGATTGATTAATGGAGAGGCTGCCGGTTCCAAAAATATCCGGGATCGGGGGGAAAAGGACTTTGATCGCGATAGATTTCACGCGGCTAAAGTCTCGCCGGGAAGCTTTATCTGCCCGCGAGATCACCCGGTATAAACTGCCGTGATCGCGCGAGCAACGCGAAACCTATTTACTCGTCATGCAGATGACCGGTAGCCGTTTCTTCCTTTTTCGCGGACGATCCTCTCGCCTTCGCCCCTTTCTCACCCCTTCCCCCCTCCAAGCGGACGTGCTCCTATCTTCGCGCATACCCGGCAAGTTTCATTACGGCGATAAATTGCGGCCGGCGAGGGACTCGCAAAGGAACTTGCGAATGGCCGAATCGATTTGTCGTTTAACAAACGTCCGCCGCGATCGCCTCGTCCCGCTTTTACGAGCGCGGGTACTTTCCACTTACCGGGACGGACCAGAGATCTTTTTTTCAGTCCGGGACCGTGAAACTGACTTCCTCGATCTGAAGAGACGTGGATGGAAACGAGCGCCTCTTGTCTTCGTTCTGCAACAGAGAGGAGAAACGTTTGAGGATTTTAATTATCGTAGTGGTAAGTCGCAGCCGGGGGTTAACTGGATCTTTCGTTTGCCGCGGTGTTTCAGAGTTGAATTTAGTTTTTAGAACGCGTGGGAATTATTTCTTGACGACTTTACCTGACTTATAGTTTATGGTTTGTCGTACGAACGATCATAGTTTTGTTCCTCCTTTCTCAAATCTTATTTTAGTATATTTTATTTTGTTGAGAAGATAGTAGGAGTGAACTTTCGAAATTGTAAATTGCTCATTGCGGTTAAATAGATCGAATGAATTTCTTGGTTCGATTGAAACAACCAGATCAAAATAGGGCCAAATTTGTTCAAATGATTGTACAATTATCTATCGATTTCACAGTAACAAAATTCCCTACAAATCTTATTATTTGTATAAAAGATATTTGTACTAGATATTTCATTAAATTCTGTCAACAGTTAATATTCTCTCTGTGAAGAACGCTTCAGAAAAAGAAATGAAACGAAGTGTGTCCATTTCTTCAGTGTCGCGTCCCGCGAAAATACAAATATTTCGTCAAAGCCATTTCTGTTCCATCTCTTTCGTCCAGACGCGCGAGTTGCGCAAGTTGCAAAAGATGCGCCCGGCAAAAGAACCGCGAGACAAGAACAATCAAATAATCAGACGCACGCGAGCGTCTTTCACGGTGTGAGCATGATAGTTGTTAAAAGCAACGCGTGTTCTGCATTACTCCGGGCATTTCGTTTTGATAGAACAGAACGAGACAAAGCGAGAGCGAGAAGGGAGAGAGAGAGAGAGAGATCGATCGATTGGTAAGGGTTGTGCATCGAGAGACAGCCTTAACGAGGAGAGTATGACTCACGAAAACGCGGCCAGTTTTGCCTGCCCAGAGTGTGTTCCTCTCTCCGTTCTCCTCTCTTCACCGCCGCTGTCACGTCGGTTTTTCTTCGTTCCTCCACTTCGTTCGCCGCCGCTTTATCTCCCCCCCCCTCCCCCCTCTTCCACTCCTCCCGATTGATTTATGCGAACTGGCCGCCGGCAGTAATTAATAGAGATTACGGCCACGTCCTGAGAAAACTCGTATCCACGAGTGTGCTCGGGCGCCCCTATCGAGATTCGATATCGAGCATTCTAGTCGCACATGCACTCCGGCCGCATCCACCGGCATTCCTCGCTCCACTCTTTTTATTTCCCTCCTGTTTTCTATCTTTTTCGTAGATCACACGCGTCTCTCAGCCTCTGCAATCGCAATCGGAATTGCGCCGAGCTGAGCAGCGCCCCGTTCGAATCGGATCGCCGCGCGGACTTGCCTCGTTCCTGCTTAATGACGCCTAACGAACAGCAAGGATAACGATTTTGCAAATCTGGCTCCCGTTTTCTCCTCCATCTCGGTTTATTTCGTCACGATTCGTACCGACTTCCGCGGTGCCCGATTATCTCCGTTCCTCCGTCTGTTTCCGATTTTTCCGTCTGGTCTCCTCCTCGCTCCGTTTGGTCGTCGACTTTGGACTTGCGTACGTACGTCTGACCGTGGCCAGAAACTGATACGTTAACTATCGGGCTCTCGGTGGCGTGGCTACGAGCCTGATACGTTAACTCGATTTCACCGCGGACTAACGACGGAGTAATCAACGCCGGAGAAATTGCAGTTGACTTTACAAATGGCTTGGCGAGCTTATCCCCGTCTCGAGCCACGGCTAAACGGCCATTACGGGGACGGCGACTGGTTTTACCAAACTCGCAAACTCGGTGTGTCCGTTGTTCGCAAAATAAAACGGACTCGTTCAAGGTTCAAAGGTTCTTTCTTAACTTCGGGAATGGTCGCCAATTTTATGGAGGTTTGTTGCTTTAAATAAATATATTACGAGATTTAACGAGAGACTATAACGATAACTATTTACTTTTAATTGATAAGTAGATTTTTATGACGACCGTTTGTTTTGGTTATGAACAACAACTGTGAATACAATATATATTTTCTGCTAGTTCATTTTCTGCTTTCTTCATTTGAATTCGCTTTTGAAAATACTCGCAATACAGTAGTTGTAGTTATTTTTTGGAAACACTGTTTGTTATTCTTATTGTCGCTTTTTTCTTTTAAATTAATTTCATTCCACCTTGCACTGAAAATAGATTAAGAAAGATTCTAGTAAGAACTTGTGTGTCTTTCTTTTTGTAAAGTATAAATCTTTTTACGGATTTTGTGCCAATATTATTATTTTCAACGTCTTTCCTTTCTACATTAAAAATTTCGTGTTTCACCTTGTACCGAAAAATAGATTCTAATTTTCTAGTAAGAGAATTGTACACTTTTCTTCTTATTAAATATAAATCTTTTCTGTGTTCGTAAAATAAGCAGCAGATATGTACATCGAACCGAGCAATATTTAGAATATTTTATTCCTCAACTGTCCATTTTATAATTTCACCATCAACTCTTCGGCAACGCGATCAATTCCTTTTACAGTCGTTCTTATTGATTTCCTCTTGTCGTTGATCAATCATTATGTAATTCCCCTCTCATATCGAGTTGCCGCAACAACAACACATTTCCATCTGGATTAAACAAAGACTTCTCTCGGTATTCTTGTTTAATAGCGGTTGCATTCAGAACGCAGCTGCAGTTGTTTCGCCGGCAACGATTTATCTCCCGTTATTATTGTATTTCATTGATTCGTTTTAACCGGTTGCTAGCGCGCCAGGTATCGAGTTTCACGAAGAGGGCCGAAATATCAGCGTGTTTCCTTCGTCTTTGCTCGCGTAATTCATTTCATTGACAAATCGCGCTCGTTTGTTCGTACTCCAGATAAACGTTCGAGCGTAGCAGGTAGCAGCTGCGAGTAATTGGAAATGCGAACGCTGGTACCGTGCAACAAGGTTCCAAGGATATTTGACACTCGACACTCGGAGAAACATGGACACGAGTACAATTACGTTTACATGGTTCGTTTGCGCGCGATTTTTGAAAAGGAGTGAGTGGATTAATTTTTGGAACAGACGGTATGAATATTTTTCACTGTGTGCTTGACTAGAAAATTGGCTGGATCGTAATTAATATTAAAAACAGACAGCACGAAGATTTATTAGACATTCGTTCGATTATTCTTTCGGGAAGCAATTACTGATTTTTGATGATGTTTCAAAGCAGAGTGTGATCGTGAAGTTTCTTTAACTTTTGAAATTCGACGCAACAGATTTTAAATGTGCAAAATGACAAATGGTTGAACATATAAAATAACGAGTGAGAAAATAGAATAAACGATATATTATTATATGTAAGATAATATTATTGTTATTTCCAACCTATCGCGATAATTGTCAACATCAATTTTTGAAAACCTAGCAAAGAGTATAATGAAATACGAATATCGGCGAATGCTCGTTTCAAGAAAACTGGAATGAAACAGAAAATGCTTCCTCAAGGCTTCCACGCTTCAGCTTCTCAAATATTATGTGCATTTTGCGTAAAAACGTAGATTGTTACTCTTGCATTACGAGTTTGCAAATTGCCGGAAACTGCGTCTTACGAGCTTCGAAACATTCGACGTTTCCTCGGAATTGGAATTAATACGTCGATGTAATAATGGTCGTTACGATAATAATCGCCACACGTGTACGGTACACGTGATCGAACCCGTCATTACACGAACTTTTCCATTTTTCTTTCGCCAGTACGAGTGAATTTTCAATTAATAACCGGTGATAGCGCATTTCGTTCTGCTCGACGCGGGCTATCTCAACTGCTCCGACAAACCGATACGAATCGGCAGAAGCCGATTTTTCACGATTCTATTTATCAGCCGTGAAATTTCAATCTTTATTAACTTCTTAAAGACATTCAGTCACGATCACCGTCGCACTTTTAAACTTTCTATTAAATTTAACCAGGTGTCTGTTCGTATTCGAAATATTTCTAAATATATCTTAAAATATATATATATATATATATCGTCTGGATTTAACGATCTGTGACGAAATGCAGAGCATTCGACATGCGATCTTTTTCGTTATTATCTATAAAACTGTACTTTATTGGATCTACATTTTTCATTTTCCCATATCTCTCTGAGTAGATTTTGATTAATAAAATAAATGAAGGAGTATATAAATATCACGTTAAGTATAAGTAAGAAATTCGATGAAATGAATGTTTACACATCGAATGTTACACATCGTTGAAACAGTTTTGAAGTATTCACAGTAAATTAATATTCGGTGACCAATTGCAGTGAAATTTTTCTATTTGAAAATGTTAGAACAGTTTCTATAGAACCAAAAAAAGATTACATAAGCATCAAAACACTATATAAAAAAAATATATAAAGAATAACATATATTTTCTAAAAAAAAAAAGAAAAAAAAGAACACTTGCAATGTTAAATTTGTAATTTAGATGAAAGTCTTTCAATAATGTATGATTAAGTAGTCCCAAGTTTTTCGAATAAGTGCATATATCTTTCTAACGTGTAATATAAGTATGACTATAGCAAATAATCTTACTTTCTACTCTATTGCCCTGTAGTACATAAAGCTTATACTCCCATAAAAACACGTAGAATTTTCAATTAAAATATTTCAAGATTACCGTTTCGAAATCTGCGTTTCAAAGTCACGTTCAAGCCAGGAAATACAAATAATAACGTTCGATCTGCAACGAATTGTACTCGCAATTACGCGATCGCCGATCAATGGCGTAGCATAGTACAGCATAGCGGAGGATGAGTTGTTTATATCGACGTCTAATATTTTTGCTGTTCCGAGCTTTCGAAAAATGTAAAACAATTTTGGATCGCTCAACGAATTTTAAGCCAGCTCTTTAAAAGGTGCTTCAGAAAGTATAAAAATTTGTTCCGATGAACTTACAAGTGAAATGTTTTTCAGGCTATTTTCAGTCAGATCTTTAAAAGATTTTTCAGAGAGGACAAAAATTTACAAGTAAACGACCTATGTTGTCAATAGAGAGTTCGGAATACTTGAAACGCAACAGAGGATAT